CCTTAATAGTTCTGAAACTGCTGTACATAAAAACTGTTGGTTTTGTGCTTACAGCATGTAAGTTTGATTTTAACTAAAAGATAGAATCCCTTTCAAACCTTTTTTTCTATTTTGTTTGGGTTTAACTCACAGTTTCTAGAATTCTATTGACTGTGTAAGGTTCTTACTGTCATTGAAAGGGAACCTTGCTTTTGAGAAGGAGTTTGTTCATTCATCTGTCCCCCTTAGATACGAGGCATGTCCATCGATCAGGCTCTGGCTCAGTTGGAGTTCAATGATAAGAAGGGGGCTCAGATAATTAAAGAGGTAAGACTTGGTGCTTGGGAGGGGTGGGCACCATCTTTAAGTCTAAATCCTGGATTCCTAAGATATGTGGTGTAAGTGTATTTTTTATGAAGTATAGACTCAGGGCTCCTTTTCTTAAGTCTCTTATTCCTGAGAAATAGATGCTTTGCATACAGTTTTCCACGGATGCCTTTACATACACCAGATACTTTTTTATTGTTGATGAAATGATTAGAAGCCCTTTTTAAGAAATGACTTGGGCCTTATTTTGGAGTGGTGCTAAAGATTAAACTCAGGGCCTAGCATATGTTAGGGACACACACTACCACTAAACTGCACTTCTAGCTCATGCTTGGTATGGTTTTCGTTTTCCACAAGAGTCTTTTTTGAGGGTTGGGGAGTTCACTTCCACAATAACGATATTGTATAAGCAGTTGGACTGAAGAAGTCCTGACAGACGGGGCACTCAGGAGACTCAGAAGCTTGTTGTCTCTGATGCTATCCCTGTGGTCATCGGTTTGTATTTGTGCATAGGTGGGCCCTAGAGGCCCTAGAGTCTCCAATGCCTCGCTGGGCACATTACTAATGTATTGGGCACTTAGCTGTTCCCTTTTTAGAAGGCTGGAGTCCCTGAATACTCATATTCAGTGTTCATTCCAATGCTGTGGCCTGGGGTGTGGGCTCTCCTCCTTTCCCTTCCAGAGTCTCCATGGCTCAGCAGGGTGGTGGGCCCTACCTTAGTTCTGAGGAATGGATGCTCACTGTTCCTGTTCCTTGGTACAACCTGCATTTGATACCTTTAAAAAGGTTGCTGTGGCTGGGAATGGTGGTACGTGCCTTTAATTCCAGCACTCCGGAGGCAGAGACAGGCCAGAGCTACAAAGAAAGCCATTGCCTCAAAAAAAAAAAAAAAAGAAGAAGAAACAAAAAACCCCACCAATAAATAAATAAAAGTTCACTGTGAAATGAAGGTTTGATTAGGCACATTTTAGACATAACAAAAGATGAGATAGATGTTTAACCCCACTTTAGTTGAGAATCAGCTATCTGAGCAGGCCTTTCTTGTTGTTTAAGGTACTCTTAGAAGCACAAGACATGGCAGTGAGAGAACACAATGTGGAATTCAGATCCTACTTATATGTAGGTAAGACTTTTTCTGTCTTCAGCGCCAGAGGTCCTTCACTTGATGCCAGGTTTGGCGAAAATGGTCTTTGGTGTCGTGAACACTGAGGCCAATTGCCTGTTCTGGTAAGGACTTTCTTTAGCCCTTAGCACCTCAGAGTTAATCTGTCATGAGTGCTAGATGTGCTAGCTTCAAACGGGCTTGGATTCTGTCACCTGAGCTTATTACACAAGGATTCTAGGACTGTCTATGCTGTCACCCTTTAGCCACAATAAAACTGAGAATGACCACAAAGTATCTAAAAGATGGAATAATTGTTGGTCACGGTGCACACATCTTTAGTTCCAGGAGGCTGAGGCAGGTGGCTGTCTGTGAGTTCAAGTTCAGCCTGGTCTACATGGTGATTTCCAATTGTTGTGTGGAGGAGAAAGATAGATGAACTGTCAGCTGGAAGGAGGTGAATAAAGGATTTCATGTAAACTTTAAGGGCCTTTTTATAATGTGCCTCTACCATAAGTGACTGAAATGGAACCTTCTAGTCATCAGGGTGAAAGACCTGATGATCTGTAAGAGAGAGACAGACAGACCAAAACCACTGAATCATCCAATTAATGAGCAGGCAAATGAATCACACAGTTCTTAAGAGAAAAATATAAACTACGTGAACAAAGATTCAACATCCTCAGCCAGAGTGGGCAGTGAGAGCTTTAAGCATTCCTAGTGGGAATATAAACTCATGTAACTGCTGCAGAAATCAATATGAAGAGCTCTCAGACCAAACACATTATGCAGCTGGAGCGCTCCTAAGGACACATGCAAAGGACTTGGAGTCAGCATGCCATAGACACCTGCATACCCATGTTTACTAGGGCACTGTTGAGAATATCCAAGACAAGTACATGTGTACATGTCTCAGTATGCACCATCACTTGCTTGTGGAGACCCAAAGATAGTTTTGTGGAATCCTATCTCTTTGTACCATTATGTGGATTCCATGAGCAAGGCTGTCAGACTTGCATGGCAAGTGCTTTACATCCTGAGCCATTTTACCAACCCCATTCCTGCCTTTTTTATCTGAGTGTTAGGGCTGGAATTTTCCTTTGCTTGCAGGACCAAGCAAAGGAATCTTGCTTGCCGCTTGAACCAAAATCCAATCTGTTCCCCCTTGCTTGTCTCATTTCCTCTTTTGTGCCTCTTACACATGGTAAGTGTAAGCATGCCCCTGGCCATGTACTTGGTGTATAGCTAAGTATGACCTTGAAATCCTGCTCTTCCTGCCTTTGCTTCCTGGATTACAGACACCAACACTATGCCTAGTTTCAGAGATGCTTCCACTATCCCAACAGTCTCTGTCATGTTAGTCAGATTTGTTTAATTAATGAAACTAGCATTAATTGAAGGTGTTACCATATTTTCTGTCTTCCTCTAACATAAACTGTGTAGCAAGCAGGGTGCATGCTTTATTTCCTAGTTAGTGCTAAGAGACTTGTGATCGAGGCGAGTGTGTTCTAGCCAACCAGCAAGCTCCTGTGTTCTTAGGATCACGTGACAGATGGGTCAGGACTTGCTCAGCTGGTGCAGGTGCAGTCCTATGGATAGCAGACATATCCCATAATTCTCTCATTCCTCTATAGCTGAGTCTACCTCAGGTAGAGGCCAGTGCCTGAAGCGTCTCCGTTACCATGGCCGAGGTCGCTTTGGTATCATGGAGAAGGTCTATTGCCACTATTTTGTGAAGCTGGTGGAAGGACCCCCACCCCCACCCGAAGCACGCAAGACAACATTCGACCATGCCAAGGAGTATATTCAACAACTCCGAAGCCGGACAATCATCCACACTCTGTGATGGTCATTCTCTCTCCACAGTGTATATATTTTACATTTATTTTAAAAAGTAAAAACAAATGGTTTTTATGCTTTGTCATTGAATTATTTAAGTGCAGTACATAACTGCAAGGGTGTGTGTG